TGGCTCGCCAATTAACAAAAACGCAACGCTGGTCGTCACCATCAATGGGCTTGGGACAGTTCTCAACGTGATCTACGTCTTGCTTTTCTTGTTCTACGCGAGGAAATCGCCCAAGGCACTGGTAAGGATTTGTTTTGAGGGTTGATCGAATCGCTTTGCCAACTTTGCCCCTTTTGAATTTGCAGAAAAGAGCATCCCTTTATACGTTTTCGTGCTTGGCGATCATGGCGGCCGTGGGCTTTGGCATAAGTCTCGGAATCCATAGTAAAGACACGAGGATTACAATCTTTGGAGTTCTTTGCATCGTCCTCAACATCGCGATGTATTGGTCACCTTTGTCCGTGATGGTAAGTTGGCGGATTAAAACCTTAACTTTCCTTGTTATCATCGCTAATCACAAAACCTCTGTATTGCAGTACCGGATTTTCAAGACCAAAAGCGTCGAGTTCTTACCTTTTTACCTGTGCTTGACCGTCTTCATCAACAGTGCCCTGTGGTTTGCGTACGCGCTCTTGAAGCACGACATTTACATACTGGTAAGTTTTCTGCAGTAAAGGCCGACATATTTACAGGGAATTAACAGAGTTTTGACCAATTCAGGTTCCCAATGTTCTTGGACTAGCTGGAGGCGCTGTCCAGCTCTTTTGCCACTACATATATTACAAGCCCGGTAACTTGCTGACGTGGCAGGTACCTGACGAGAAGGAAGCTGAAGAGAGTGAATCCCCGGATTTGGAGAGTGGAATTGAGTTACCCAAGCAAAATGGGAAATTTGTTGACGTAGCTCTTAACACCTCTACCATGGCAACGCAATCATGAAAACCTTTAGAGTAAACCTTTAGAGTAAATTCAGCTGTAAATTCATTTCATAATTTGTATTGTAAGAATAAGGTTTACTGCGTAATGCCAAATGGAAACACTAGGAGCTTTGAAAAATCTCCATTTATTTCCTTAATATTCAAGATCTGGTGCATTTCCTACACTAACTAACACAAGAGGCATTGAATAATTTGTTCATCTTTTGGAAATATATATATCATATTTATATATACAATAATAAAATTAATTTTTTAGGAAGATAAAGTTATTTTATTTCAAATATAAATTTTTTCAATGAAAGTATTAAAAAAAGTTTTAAAATTTCAGAAATTATCAATAATAGTTTTTATTCTCAATCACATATTTAATTTCTTCTTTATTTATTTATTTTTACTCTCTAAAAAATATTTTGACATTGTTTATTTTGAGAAGAACTAAATAGGGTCAAGTTAATGATATCCAAAAACATTTGTTGTAGAAAAACTCTTAGCTCCATACATTTGGGTTCTCTTTTATAATGATTTGTCTAAATTTGAATTAAAATATTAAATCAAATATAGATAAAGTTTTTTAAAAACTATTTAATAGAAATTTTTACTAACCATACATTATAACCTAATTAACTATCATCTAAATGTACATATTCATGTAAATATATAATGGAGTAGTTAACAATATTTACTTAATGTATTTAAAATTTTAGTTTGTATTTAAAACATTTAATTAAAATATTACTTGTAGAAATAATTTATACAACATCAAATTTTGCTTAAATATTAAAAATATAGGCAAAAAAATATTAATATAGCAACAAAAATAATCTAATATCAAAATATTCATAAAAAACAAAACATAAAATTTAACAATATTGAAATAATAATGGATTATATTTAAAATGTAATATAAGTCATAGTTTAGTATAACATTGGTTTTATTTTTTATTGCAATGTAAACATGATAAAAAGGTACTTAATAATATATAAACATAAAGTAGAATTTATTACTTAGAAGCTAGTATTAAAGACAGTACATGTAATGATACTTTATTTAATTTTCATGAGTTATTTAAGAAAATGATCTCATGTTACTCATTAATATCAATTAGTAAAATATTAATAATTTTAAATTTTTTCTAGCTAATAATATTTAAATTTAATATAATAATAATATATTTATTTATAAATAAAATAAGATCTATGAACTTTTTATACCAGTTAAAAATTAATTCTTTATCTAATTATAGAATGAAAATAATTTGGAGAGAGTTATAATTTTAGGTATAATTTATATAATTAAATTATTTATGATTAATCATATTTTGTAATGTTAAATAAAAAATTTTAACTTGTGGCAGTATCACAAAAAATTATATAACCATCATCACTTGTACATATTGATTGTCCCATTAATCTTTATTTGGTTTTCCAAATAATATTACTGTTATTATCATAAATTATAAAGTTTTTATCAGTTTATAATTTTAAAAGTAATTTTTTCTGTTATTAATTTTATATTTTCTATATGATATTCTAATACTCAGAATGTATATACAAACATTTTCCCTTTAGTTACAAAAGATTTTGTAAAATTTTTTATTGTAAAATCTCTAATTTTTATTGACTTCCTTTTGTAAACTTAAAGTTTCTATTAGTGTTAAAATATGATGAGAATTATCTCTAATGATTAAAATGTAAATAACATTTGGAATAAAAATAATCAAAATAATTGATAAATATGTCCTCTTTTTAATCCTTTTTTAGCTAGTGAAAAGATGTTTTTGAAAAGAAGTTGTATGTTTTTATATATTTAATGTTTTTATAATATCTATGGCATTGCATAGAAATTTATTCACATAATTGCATTTTTCTATAATAAATATTACATGGTTTCTTTGGCATTTTTACAGTTCCTTTGATGTTAAAAGGCAAGAAATCAAAACTGTCAGATTGAGCCATTAATTAGTTGAGGAAGTACTTCAAGCTATAGCTTATGGCTATTTGATCTTAGAAGAGGTTCTTTTCTTGGCTGGATTATATAAACAAACTAAAACATTAGATTTTGTTTAGATTATATAGAAAATTGACCTAATTAACTGTCATGTCCCAGCCAGCTGAAATGGATCTGCTATACTTTTACCATTTAGCCATGTAATTTACCGTACGACACGGCTATCATTGTTTGTATGCGTCGTGAGTATTGGCCATGGCGCAATGTGGTCTCTTCTCTGTTCCATTGAGGCGAAGGCTCTCATTAGGGGAGAGCGCAAGAGCCCTAAGCGCGGTACCGCTGCGCCAATGGCGCTGGTCAGGGTTAGCCCGGAGCGATGCGATGCGATCGATATGGAGCTCAAGCAATCATCGCCGAAGTGTGGCCAGTTCTATCGCCGGCGCCGGCGGCCGCAGGCTCTCCGTGTGGAGCCGATCCAGACGAAGATTTGCAGCGAGTCGGGTAAAATCTCTCGTCTTTCTCGCATTGCGTAATTTGGATCTTTCTTGGCCGATCGATCGTGCAGAGGGAGAAGACTGCGAGAAAGATCTCAGCGAGAGGCAGATCAAATGGGGAACGCGCAAGAAAATCAAATACACGACCAATCCGGACGAGAACCTCCAGATCGTCGTCAAGGGCTGCTCCAAATCGCTGCTGAAAGTTCCCAAGGACATGCAAGGACGCTGGTCGAATGAAAGGTACAAATCTACAGATTGGGGATTTTGGAACGAGCATTCAAGCTCCTTTCTTGTTTTCTTTCTTTTTCCTTTGCGATTTCTTCAGGTATTCTGCCGCTCAAGAGAGTCTCGTCCTGATCCTCCACGAGAAAGGAGCGACCCCGGGAGCTCCAATTGCGAGGCATGTCCTGAGAGACGAGGCGAGAAAATTCATTGGCGACACTGGGCTTTTGGATCATCTCCTAAAGCACATGAGCGACCGGGTGGTGGTGAGGGACCAACGATTTCGGCGACGCCACAATCCCGAAGGCGTGATGGAGTACTGGCTCGAGGATGCGAGCTTCATGGAGCTGAGGAAAGATGCCAACGTAAGTGATCCTTGGTGGATTCCGCCTCCTGGATGGAAGAAGGGCGATCCTACCATCACGAACGTTGAGGGAGAGATAAGAGCACTTAAGGTGGGCTTTGATGGCCTTCGAAGGTATGGAGCTTGTCGATTTTCTCGTAAACTTTGACGTTCTAACTTCTGGTTTTGTGCTGCTAGCGAGATGCATCAAGTACAAGAATCGTCGAGCGAGTCTTCACACGAAGCGATAAAATCTCTCAAGGAAGAGGTAGAGCTCTTGCGAAGGTCGGGTCCCGTGCTGGAAACGTTTAGTTTGTAACTTCCTTTCGTTGTCTTTCTCGCAGTGAAGTGCAGCAGCTGCAAGGAAAACCTGTCGAGAGACTGGATGGCCTGGAGACTCAAGTTCGTAAGATGATGGAGGTATACTCTCATTTCATTTATAGCTTAAAACAAATCGTTTTCGCAGGAAGGCAAACTCCGACAGGAGCTCCAGATCGTGGAGAAGCTGACGCTCGATACTCAGTTCGCAAACATGTGGAAGACTGTCATTACAATTCAGGTAAGTTACAATCGAGTTCCACGTCCAATTGCGTAACAAAATGGTCGTGTTCATCCAGGAAAAGCTGGCGGGCATGGAACGCTTGGAGAACTCTCGCTACCAGCAGCGCAGCGTCTTCTCTCCCTGCGTTATACAATCCCCCAGCGACCAGAAGGAGCACGCCTTCAAGCTATGCAGGCCACCAGGGACGTTTCTCATGCCTCCGGCCTCGACTCCCAGTGGCAGCAGGGGCCCCTCGTACCGAGTGGAAGACATCCTCTCCCCGAGATCCTCCTCGGACTCGGAAGTGACGATGGAAACGAACAAACCATTCATCGATCCGGTGGTGAGCAGGCACCAGATGTTCCTCACGGCGGCGGTCCAGGCACTCCAGGACAATACCTTCCAGCGTCAGCAGCAGCAGCAGCAGCAGCCAGACAGCTCTTCCTCCTGGCTTGGACTCGCGGGATCTCCGAGCTTTGAGCTGCTCCAAGCTCGCCAGAGCTAGCTCTCATCGTTATCCGCCACCACCACCGCAATTTTGGACCCTATAACGTACTTAAGAGATGACTTTGTACATAACGAGACGAGACGAGGCGAGTGAGGAACCAAAATGGAAACGAAACAGCGTACCTTAGAAACAAGAGAGAACCGTATCGTTCATAAAACTTGATGACACAAGTCACGACTTTTGCAATACAACGCACCAATTCGATTTGTCAAAGAAGTGATCAACGATTACGGCACCATCGATCGATGAAACCAACCTGCAAAGCAGCCGTGAATGATCGAAAAAGAAAACCAAACCGAGAAGAAAGAGACTGACCTTTCGAGCTCGCCTCTGACGAAGACATGGTAGTATCGGTTGTAGACGACGGCGTTCTTCTTATCGTCCTTCCTCGCGAAGCCACTCACGACCGCCTCCGCGGAGCCGGCGATCTCCGCGCGATGGTAAGGCAAGTGCCACGGTACGAAGTACTCTTGCTGCTCTTCCAGATTTTCAGCGCTAACCATTCCAGCCTCTCCTTCGGCTTCGTCGATCTTTGCTAGAGATGGCGACGACGTCGCTGGAAAGCTCTTGCTTTTACCACCCCCGTCCATGTCCCCGACCCATCCTTCCACGCATTTCTCATCCAGAGGAGTCCATTTCTTGACGAGTCCTTTGTCTTCCTGTTCTGCGGCCCACACTGTGACCAGCACCTTGCCTCCTGTGCTCACTATCCTCAGAAGCTCTACGATTGCTTTCCTCCGCCTCTTCTCGGTGCTAAGGTGGTGGAGCACGGCGATCGAGATGGCCGCGTCGAAGCAGCCTGTTCTAAACGGTAAGTTGACAGCATCCGCGACGAAAACTTCGTGGCCTCTTCGTGCGCAGATGGAGATGAGCTGCGGACTCACATCGCAGCCGATGAAGAAGCAGCTGTCGTTGAGGCCCAAGTACTTCCCGTTTCCACAGCCAGCGTCGATGACCATCGAGCTCGGGGGCAGCGAGTCGAGGAAAGCGGCAACTCTGGGCCACTTTGCAAACCTTGTGGAGCTGAAGTGTGGAGCAATGGCGTTGTAGACTTTGTGAACGAAAGTTTTCTCTATTTCCGGCGTTACGAGGTCATCTGGATCGGCTTCTTCTTGATCAACACTTTCAACTATCTCTGGAGCTCCAGAGTCGGATTGAGAATGGCACTGAGAATCGCAATACTGCCGAAAGTTGCAACGACAGGGACCATGACGAACCTGCAAAGATGGTCGCAAGGAGAGTTACTTTGAAGAGACAAACCAAACCTTTCGGAATGTATAGGAGACTCTTCTCGACTCTCGCGGGACGCTCTGACCAGATACGAGATCAAACTACACAGTCGACATGAAGCGTTGGCAAGGAAACGAAGAATACGAGATAACAGACCTTGTGATGCGGTATATAGTGGTGCCATCCATACCGTGACTCTCCGGATAGAATCAGCAATGATCTTTGCGGAAGGAACAACGCCTTTCTTTCAAACTCCGGCGACACACCTTCGCTCGCGTACTTCCTGAACTCCATGACACAAGGGCCAGCCAGAGAAAGAGAGATTATTGAGCCTTGGAACGCGGAGTGAGTGTCAATGTGCGGGGACAAGCCCACACCACGAGGATATTCATTAACCTATGAAAGAAAGAAAGACTCGAAAGTTTTGAGACGACGACACAAAGTTGCAAGAGCAAAACGTACCGTAAGTTGGTCGAAAGGAAACGTCGCCTCGGACGTTTCCTGGAGCTCAGCAATCGAGGAAATCTTCTCGAGCAATGGCTGGAGAAAGTCTGGGAACTCCCCCAAAAACTTGGAGGTGTCCACATTTCTTGCCTGGAGAAACAATCCAGTTTTTAGAAGATCGCAAGAGATAAAAACGAAAGGAGTACGTTGTATAGAAACTCGTATCCATAATGCTGGACTCGACGCTTCGCAAGAGCTTGCCACGGCCTAGCATCGACCTCTTGAAGAAGTCTCTGGGAAAAAAAAAATTCCGATGAAAGATCTCTACAACTGGAGATCCAAGAAAGTTTTTGATTCTCACCTCTTCTTCCCGCGATGATATAAACTCCGTCAGCAAAGAGAGGCCTGGAATTCCCAGCTCCTGAGCCGAGGTGCTCACTGGTACCTCAACCAACTAGCGAAGAAAATCTTGTCAAAGACGAGTAACGAATTCCTCAATACTCGAGAAGAACAGAGAGTCTCAATTGGCATACCTTGATTCTCTCACGAGGAGCTGCGAATTCGATCACCAGCGCGCGCTCCCCGAGCGCTCCACAGCATTGCCGATTCCACGCATCCCTGGCCGCCGCCGCATCCGCCTCCCTCTCAAACGACACGATGACCCTAGCCTTGCTCGAATCCGCGGCGCAAGCGTCCAGTACCGGCCCAAACTTGGAGAATGCCGCTTTCACGGATTCCAGAGCTATCCCCAAGCAATTCGCAACATAGAGATGGCGCGTGGCTCCCACAGCTCGCGCAAAGCCCTCCATCCCCAAGAACCCTAAACCCAGAGCGAGAAAGAATCAACGGCTTGCAACCTGACACCTGAAAACATCGAATCTACACCGTCCGTCAGGGCAAAATTTAAAATCAGCCGTTGGATGCAAACGGGCATCCTAGGTGGCATCTTGTGAGCCGTGGATTCTATCAGAGTGGAACTTTTGAGGGTTTTGCTCGCCATAGCCAGGGTTGAATCGCAATGCCGCCAGTCCAGCGCTTCGCGATCGCAATCGCGCTCGCGCTCTTGATCGTAGCAAGGGTCGATGCGCAAGTGGCACGGAAGGAGAATATCAAGTACCTGCGCTGCGCGGTGTGCGAGCAGATCTCCAAGCAGCTGTTCGAGAAGGTTTCGGAGAAGAAATCGATCAAGAAGAAGGTGAGAAAAAGGCAAGAAAATCTAGTGCCGGGGCTGATCGCGTCTGGCAGCTCTCAGAATTCGAGATTATCGAGCTAGCGGAGAATATCTGCAATGTCAAGAAGCGGGAAAGCGAATGGATGTTCTTCCTGGATATCGTGCGAGAAGGAAACAAACTCAAGGTGGATTCTTCTCCTTTTCTTTTCTGTGAGATGATGGAGTTGTGCTCTGGATCTCAGCTCGTGGAGCAGCCGGAAGAAGGAGAATGCAACACCAAATGCAGGACGATCGAACGAACGTGCCAAGAAGTATGAATTTTTCTTTTCTTATTTCACGAGATATTTAGAACGAAATGGAAAATTCTCTGTAGGTGATCGGAGACCATGACACCGATATCGCGGAGTTTATCCACACACACTTACGCGATCTATCGGAAGAGGCCATTTTCAAGTCACTTTGCAAAGAAGTCACCAAGTCTTGCTCATCCAAACTACCAGCGCTTCCGAAAGTAAGTTTTGCCTTTTCTAAGCCTCCAAACACGATCAAAATGCCTGCTTTCCAGACGCTAGATTTGGGAGAGCCCTTCACGCCAAAGCCCACCAAGGACGCGGACATGGCTAGACTGATGCGTTCCATGGGTGTAAGTTTTAGACCTTCATAGCCAAGCGCTCGATTCTTTACTCTATTTGTTTTCATGGTTTTCACAGGACATGCCTGGAGGACAAGGAATGAAAATGTATTCCAAGGACGACCTCATGAACATGAATAACTATCCGGGTGGTGACCCCGACGATGACGATGACGACGACGATACCGACGAAGGAAGCAAGCTTCAATCACTTCTTAAGGTTCTCAACTTGCCTTTTCTTTCATTGCCTCGGTGCTAAAAGATTTCCAAAACACCGCAGAAGCAAAACTTGAAGAACCCTGCGAATCCAAAGAACCAACCCAAGCGAAGCATGCTAACTCAAGTTCTCGATCACGTACAATCGATTGGCCGTGACACGTTGAGCAGTGCTAGGAAAACGAAGGACAAAGTAACCAAGTATGTCAAGCGATGGTGGCGGAGAGCCAAGTCCTCTAAGCAGCGCCAGGCCCAAAAGGTGGATCTTTGATGAAGTGAGCTTTACGAGAGCAAGATTTCCGAGGCAGCGGCGGCTAGCAGCACCGATCCCAGCGCCGCCAGCGCCAGAACATCGTTTAACTTAATAGAGAGCCTGCTCAAGAAGTAGAGCTTGTGTTCTTCGGGATTGCCTTTGAAACCTCGAGCTATCATAGCCTGGAAAAAAAACAAAGCTTTCAACGATGACAAAGGAAGATTTGCGTCCTACCTCGGTTATATGCTCGGCATGAATGAAGAGATTTTTGAACAAGCGACTTACGAGTGTCCCAAGATCTGCCAAGAAAGAAAAGCTCGAGTTTTTAATGAAAGAGAAGCGCAAACTTACGTTCTAGAGTCTCTCGCAGCTTCAACGATTTCCACTGCACGCCCCGCGAAGCCACGGCCAAGGCAATGTTTCGCACCTGGAAGTGAGTGGAAATCCATCACGCTCGCTCCGAAAAACCTCTCGGGGTAACGTACCTCGTCGAAGACAAGACCGGTGAATCTAAGCGACAGTAGCAAAGTGAGTATCATCTCGTCCACAGCAACGCCGACTCTTTGAAGTGGACGAAGAAACCATCGCAGCCCGGCTGCTAGATCCTCTGGAGTGGTCGTAGCGATACAAAGACTGGCACTTTGGAGCACCTGGAAACAAAGAAACATGAGCGTTTGCTCTGAAGAAACTACGAAAGCTTACCGTGAATGACAAACACGCAGCCGTGGTAGCGAGTGCTACACCTTTGGTCGTGAGCTGGAAAGGCCCAAGCTTGAAGAAAACGTAGGAGTAGCGATTCAGTGCTGGAGGCAGCGGAGGCAATGAATCCACGCTCGGTGGTGGTGTTCGAACTTGCATGATCGGTGTGACACCATCTGTCGTCAAAGCTGCCATCACGAAAAGCAATCCACAGAGCAATGTTGTTCTTCCCAACTGGTCCTGTGAATCGAGAGAGAAACGCTGGATGTTACTGGAGATTTCAAGGAAGAAAAAAAGGGACGCTAGAAACGAACCTGCCATACTCTCTTTGGAAGACACGAAACAGCTGCTGTGGAGAGGAGGGCGACCACGCCTAGTCGAAATACTGCGTGTGCTCGCGAAGATAAAACGATCAAGCCAAGTAACCAAGCCTGCAAGCTCAAACCTGATTTAAACGGGTTACCATCACGAAGAACAGTAGAAGAGAAAACTCTCTATAGTAACAGACAAAGAGTATAAGCACGCGAAGAACCCGCGGAAGAAAAGAAGAGAGATCACGATGATCCAAGCAAAAGTTGGCAAGAAAAACCACAAAAGATAGACTTAATCACGAATTTTCACGAAAACTATCATCCAAGCACGAAGAGAAAAGAGAATTTTCCACAAAACTATCATCCAAGCACGAAGAATAAAAGAGAAAGGAAACTACGCAAGGAAAAGAGAATTTTCCACGAAAACTATCATCCAAGCACGAAGAACAAAGAGAAAAAAGAGAGAAACCTGTTTAACTCGGGGATCCAGCGAATGCAAGACCGTAACTGGAGAAGAAATGTACTGCGCCAGCGGCGACGATGTCGCAGTGGCCACCATTCTCACAATCCGCGCACCGATCGGCTCCTGGTTGCCCAGACTCTTGGCCCAATCCGCAAAACCCCGACCCCGGGACTGCGCCGCCGCAGCGATCGTGAAGCGGCAATGGCGCTTGCAGCTAATCCACACTGGAATCGTCACAAAATCCCTGGCAAAGATGGAAGAAGAAGAGAAGCAGTGGAGCGCATTGGCGCCCGGCGCAAGAAGAGACATCGCTCAAGAATTTAGGGTTCTTGGCACAATGATACATTTTTAGGGCTCTTCAATCAAACAGGGGATGGAAAGAGGTGCGTTCTAGAGTCTCGATTCCAGTCCATGGCCGGCGCCAGATAGGAGATTCCAGCTAAGGCATGGCGCTGAGGCGCTGTGCGCGGCGTGGGATCGTGGGAGCTCTCGCAGCCGATGCCATCGCCTTTTCTTCTTCGTCTAGGGTTCTATCCCAGCTGGGCAGCAGCTGGGAGCTTCGATCAGCGCTATTCTCGACGATTTGCGCGCCCAGGGCCACCGAATCGACGCTCCTCCCGTGGAAGAGATCCATCTCCCTATTGCGGCAGCGCCGTGGAGTGGCCACCGACCACTCCACCGAGACGACGTTCGCGGAGAAATGGAGGATCGCGCAAGAGAAGATGAAGCAGGCAGTGATGGAGAAGCCGCGAGCAGTGGTGGAATCCGTGAAGAACAGCGAATTCGCCGAGGGGACGAAGGGAGCGCTATCGGCTGTGTCAGCTCCAGTGGCCAAGACGCTTGTGAGCTATCGGGAAGCTCTCAAGCTCCAGATCGAAGCGTTTTGGAGGAGGAACTACTTGGTTGTGGTGGGAGCGGTGGGGCTGGCCGCTTGCCTTCTCCTGTGGAAGGTGATGTTTGGGATCGCGAGCTTGTTCGTCTCGCTCTCGGAAGGGATGGCCAAGTATGGATTTCTCGCATTGGCAGCAGCAATGGTCACCTTCAGTGTAAGAGATCATCGCTTTTTCTTCCATCTCTGATCTTCCATTGTGAGTTTGTATACTATTCCTCGTTCTCGTTTTCTATCTTCCATCTTTTCTTTGATGTTCTTCCTACATTGTGAGTTTTCTAGCCTTTGAGCTTCTATCTTCCATCGCTTCTTCTGCCATTTTGAGTTTCTATGTTTTTCCTCCTCGTTTCTCCGGGGCTTCATCTTCCATCTTTTCTTCCTTCTTCTGCCATTGTGAATTTTTATGTTTTTCCTCGTTCTCGGAGCTTTTCTTTCTTCTCCCATGGTGAGTTTCTAGCCTTTTCCTCGTTTTCGTTTCTTTGGAGCTTATCTTTTCTTTGATTTTCTCATTGTGAGTTTCTATGCTTTTCATCGTTCTCGTTCTTTCGGAGCTTCTATCTTCCATCTTTTCTTTGACCTCAGTCATTTCTATCGTTCTCGTTTCTTGAGAGCTTCAATTTCCTCCATTTTGAGTTTCCAGCCTTTTCCTTGTTCTCGTTTCTTTCTATTTCTCCATTCTGACTTTCTATATTTTCCTCGTGCGAGTTTCCCTTTTCCTCGTTCTCTTTGATTTGCTTCCTCCATTGTGAGGTTCTTCCTCGTTCGTTTGTAGTTTTTGGTTTTGTTTTTAGTTTCTTTCCTTATTCTAGGAAACTATTATAGCTATCGTGGCTTCCTCTCTTCTTTTCATTCTCTTCTTGGTTCTAGTTTTGTTCTTGTTCTCGTGCACTAACTTAGTTCCTTTGCTTCTGGTGCAGGGAATGGTTTTGAAAGCGAGATACACGATAAATCCCGATGCAGTCTACAGAATTGCGATGCGTAAGCTCAACACTTCTGCGGACGTGCTCAAGGCTCTCGGCGCTCCTCTTTCCGGGACAGACATTCGTGCCTACGTGATGACCGGAGGTGGCCTCCGGATCAACAACTTGAAGCCTCGAGTGAGCAGCAAACGGTGTTTTCTAATCTTCCCCATCCAAGGGTCGGAGAAGCGAGGACTCGTGAGCATCGAGACGAAGAAGAAACAAGGCCAGGCAAGTTCTCTCTTCGTCTTTCGGAAGTCGCTTCGATTCTTCACTCAGATTTTTTCATTTTCGTTCTTCGTTCTTCCAGTTTTCCCTCATCCTTTCTTCGCTTCTCTTCTTAAAGTTTCGTTCGTTCTCCAATGCTATTCTCCTATCTTTCTGCTAATCTCAGTATGACTAACTTTCCTTCGTTCGTCTTCCAGTATGACTTCAAGCTTCTAGCGGTGGACATCGCCGGGCACGAAGGAAGGATCTACGTCGCCGGCGACGAGGCCGAGTATAAGATTGGCGGCGGCCTCATTGCCGAGCTGCGAGATCCAATCGTCAAGGCGATGGCAGCACAGAACGAGTTTGAGGCTCAAGACGATAAAGAGGAGAAAGAGATGGAGGAGGCGCCTGCGTTGAAAGCTAGTGAGAGCTGATTCCTCACAACATCGTCTTTCTTTTTTTGTAGGTTTTCAGAGACATCAAAAAATAAATCCTTGTGTTTTTTCATGAGAGATGATTTGTAGTCGAGAGTTGAGATCTTTTGTTCTAGTATTGTTCCAAACCATCTCTTCAAGCAAAGGAGCGCTCCTCTGCAAACATGTCCTTGAGCAACTTATATGCAGTTCTTTTTTGTTCTTCATTACCTTTGAATCAGATAAATGCAGCATGGATTGCTCTATACATTTTCAAACAATTAACTTTGTTTCCTAAAAACTAAGCGAATGAGTTCATACTAGAAAATGCTTTTTCAACTCTATGTGATATGAACCATATTACAGAGAAGTAGTAGCAGCTTTGAATAAATAAGCTTCTACATCAAAGTAAATATTTCACTAACATACGCACTCGTAATCCTCATTGCATGGAAGATTTGCATAGCACCCACTGGTTCCTGGGCCGCAATAAGCTCCACAAACACATTCAAGCTTGTCACACATTCCTCCAAGGCAATCAAATCCCTCCCGACAATCATCGCTACTCTGGCAGCTATCTCCACATCCTTTTAGCTGTTTAGCCTCAGATCCCATTTTTGTGTTAGTGATGATCAAAGCTGCAAAGAAAACTAAGAAGAAAATCGCCTTCATACTTGTTGGAAAGTATGTCTTCACTAGAGATTGTAATACTTGATGGAAAGTATGTTTTCACTAGAGATTGGAATGTGTGGAGTTTATATAACAAGTGACATACTAACTTGAGCTACCAACAACCTTCTGTCATGTAGTGTTTGTTGGTTTCTTTGTTTTGGATAATCAAGATGCAAGTTGACAAAAGTCTTAGGAATAGCAAGATTTTACTAATTCAAATTAATGTGTGATTATTCAGCATGAAAGTCAGCTTTGTAATACCTATGTTAGTATTTTAGTTATTCCACTTTTGGGTTTAGAGATTATTGTAAAGTATCTAGAAAAACTTATTTTGGTTTGGCTTAGGAGAGAGGTTAAATATGTGGTTTTAAAACGAATAGGCTAAGCCATAAAATATTCTGAAATATCTTAGTGGTTCGTGTCTTTCTTTAAAATTAAGCTTACCTGGACGAATAGCCACGTGGCAGTGTCATAGTGGACGCACCCATTTGTCTTTAGGGTTAGATTGGGGGCGATGGTGATGGAGTTGCCGCCAATGGATCTGGTGACTAAGGTGCTCGATTCCTCTGATCTCACCGGTGAGAAGGCTGTGGTGGCCAAGATGATGAAGGAATTACAGGAGAAGCATCCCATACAGCTCCAGTACGACGCAGATGTCTTGCTCCACGCTTTGTGTAAACCCTGGGAAGTGGTAAGCAAAAAATTCTATCTCGTAGTTGGATGCCTCTCCTTTACAAAAGAAAGTGATTTTTCTCACTTTCCATCTGTTTTTTTTCTTTCTTTCTTTCTTTCTTTCTCTCCAGGGTGGTCACGCTTACGATTTTAAGAAATGCCATCGCCAATTAAGAATCACCGATCCATATCAAACTTATTCGACAGACCAAGTCTTGCTTCAAGTACGTTTCTCTCAAGCTCATGAAAGTTTTCATTTTTATTTGTTTTGCCAGTGGCACGAGAGAGTAGTAGCAGAAAGAGAGGCATGGAACAGGCAAAGGCAGCTCAAAGCACACATGCTCTTCCTTCTTTCCAATCTCCAAGTTGCGGAGAGGCAGCGGCGTCGCACCATAGGTTCACAAGCGCTCTATCTCTCAATCGTCACCGAGCTGCGTTGAGGTTTTAGTCAAGTCTATCGCGAGCCAGATGAGGTGACGATTTCACAACTTTCCTCGTGAACTAACATCTCGCTTCTCGTGTTCTTCCATTTTTCTTCTTCCAGAGAAGCGAAGACTTACGCATCCCCAAGAGGAGCCTGCTGATTTCAAAGAATCGAGCGGCAACTTAAGGCTCTTGATCGATACGTACTTCGCGAAGAGACCCTCGGAGCTTAAGTTGCTGGAGCCAGTGGCGGAGGTGATTGTCAAGCCAGAGGATCCTCCCGCCGAGCCGGCGACGATGATAGTCAAGCCCGAGGAGGATACTTCCACTTCCAAAGACCCAGCAGTGCTAGTCAAGCCGGAGGATCCTCCAACCGAGCCAGCAACATTGCTACCGCTTCGCAGCTCTACGCCAAAGATTGTCATGGAAGTTCCAAGCCCAAGAACAGGTTCTTCTTTCTCTTCTTTTCGTTGGTGCTGGAAGGAAAAAACTCTTCTCATGTTTTTTTCTGTGATGCAAACAGTGGCTTTGAGGCAGGAAGTGAAAGACCTCGATCTGTTCGACGAGAAGCTCACGCCACCCGAGCCAGAGGCACCAAAGAAGAAGAAATAAAAAAGTCCAGTCCAAATGCCTTGGAAAGAAACGAAGAAATCATTCCATTGTTTTGGTGCTAACACAGGTAACTTGAGTCTAACTGAGTCCTTCAGGTTGAACGTCGTCTCCATGGTCTCGTTTCCGTGCCAAAGGTTCTTAAACATCACCAAGTTCGCCGCCGACCAACATCAAAGCCATATGGTGATACGATTTCCTTCACCTTACGGTATGTCGTGATCTTGTGTAGAAATTCCTCTTGACACTCACTTGGTTGGAACTTCGAGAACAGGATTTGTGAACGCACTGATTCCTACACACAGACGTCAGCCATTCTTGTGTCGAAACCCAGCAACTTGCATTGAATTCCGACGTCAGAGATCGTCGAGTCCGGCCAAGATGTTGGCGATAATGCCAAGGTTGGAGAGCAATCCCTGTGAATCGCAGCAAGAAAAAGAATCTGATCCCTTGGCCTTGAAGTGACTCGGTCAAGTGAACTTGTCTGCCTGCCTGATAGTCGTATTATAATTCTATATGCTCTCCATTAAGGATACATTTTACAAATATTTCTACCTCATCCTTTCTTGCTTCTCAAAAGGTGGTAAAACAACAATATGGTGCTAGATAAGCCACATCCAACTCGCAACCTCACCAACAAAAACGCCACTAAGTAGAGCAAGTACTAGAATGTTCCCAAGAGCACTTTGTTCAGAGACCTGTCTCAGCAAAGGTAAAAACGACTAGATCCGTATTCACTAGTACCTTGTAGCCTTTGGGAGCGTTTACAAACACGCAAACGCTGAAGTGGCCATTCGATGTCCCAAGAAAAAAGCAAAGGACTATTGTCCACCCTTCATACTGGCTTCCAAAGTAAAAAGCAGGAACGAGTGCGAACCTTACGAGGACCAGCCAAAAGAGCATTGTCCTGTTTTTCAGCTTTAAAGAGTTGAGGCATATGAAGTATCGACCAGCCATATCCCCAACATTGAATACTGTAACAAGTGTTACCACATACCTGTAAAAGTTGGCAAGGATTATTCAAGGATTGATTAAAAAGTGATAAAAACAAAAATTACCATGATCTTAGTTGATGTGTTTGGCTATCCTTAGCTAGAATTCCTGGAAATATTGCTAATGTAACCACGTGAATAATGAAGATGTTGAACACATAATCCAGATTGGCTTTAAGGAGTTTGGTGTTGCTTAATCTTGGTTCGGTTTCTATTGCCTCGTTTTGGACCCGTTTTGTAAAACGTCGAAATACAAAGATGTATAGTACCACACAGACCAGCTCAACAATTGCGGAGATAAAGAAGAAAGCAACTGCAGGAATAAAAACATCAAATCGAGAAAGAAATAAAGATAAAGATTCTATTTCCTGACACTTACGAGCTCCTTTTCGTAGTCCGGCTCTATCTTCTGCAAATGAAGCTTTGGTTATTAGCCTCATGCATGATGTAGCAACACCAGAAGCAGCTACACCTGCAGTAAAAGACTGATAATATATTAAGTTATCTGCAGAAAGTAATCACATTTTTCAGATACCTGTAAAAGTCCGGTGTGGGTGTAAGATAGCACCCCGACAACTCCAGCTTCAACACAGCCCCCAGATGTACCAAACAAGGCAGTTCCGATGCATACACCAACGTAGGTTCCAAAGCTCCCGAGACCCGAACAAGCTAGATCCAGCTGAAAGAAACAACAATTTTAACGGTTTATCCTCCACTATACGATGGTCCAAACTTACCACCGGGATGAAGAGCGAGACGAAAAAGAAGAGCCAAAATCCACATACGACGCGATACTGTGTGATGATCTCTGATTCAAATGCAGTCAAAACTCCCACCACAACCATCGAAATCGGCTGATAAACAAGCGGAAGAACTCTGGATGGATAGTAATCCTGCAAAACACAGGCATATATAGAATCACAAAGAGACAAGTTACTTGTCTCTTTGTCATACCGAGAAGACTTGTAAATAATAATCCATAGCAGACAGCATGCTGTTCCATGTCAGGACAGCACCCACTCCCAAAATCCAGCACGTTAAATGCCCCAGTAGCGTCGCTCTTGCTCCAGTAGTGGGCTCCATTCACCTCGGAACCCTATAGCTTTTCACGATTGGAACAAGGAACAGATAGCGCAAAGGCGAAGCAAATTACCGGCAGTACAATCTCCTGATCAAACGAAGCAAAACCATTGCAAACCAGCCACCATTTCCTTAAAAGCACCAGAAAGAACAAGCATTTCTACCTCGAGATCCAGCAGCAATGGCAGACCGGCAATCACAACTGCTATGTCCCGTTTGGGTTATCCAGCACAAGAATTCCAAGGCCGGAAGAACTCCGTAAGTCATGCTTCCTGTGCTGGCCCCTCACAACCTTGTTTTCTTTAAAACCTCGGCTAAGATAAGAGTGCATGAGCGCGAAATAAACCGTCTCTAGACCGAGATTTGTTTCTCTTGCTCTGCCTTCAGATCCCGCACGAGGACTGCGCTTCCAAGCACCGCGTGCAAAGTTCACGATCGTACAGAGCAGTAGCGGCCAGCAGTCGTGAAACGAGCAGCGGGGAAGTATCAACCAGTGTCGCCAGGAGCTCTGGAAGAGAAGGAAACAATGTCGGTGATTGTAGGAATGGAGACCTGAGTAATCTGGTTCGAGCCCCTCGAACGCCTGTTTCAGCCGAAAGGTGGCTGGAAAACATCGAGAATCTCATCTCGGCAGAAGGTCTCAGATTGTTTTGTATAAAAATGACACCTACAGCATAGCCACTTGTATCTACAACCATTGTATATAGTTTGTTTAGATCCGCAATATTGCACCTCGGCCTTAAGTCGACAACATGTTGGTGAAGTTACTGACCAGCCTTGCTTCACCAACATGTTCTCAAAATTCTCCAAGTTCACATCGTCAACATCGACCGCTCAGAAGTTGGAGCTGTTCCTGTTTTATTCAATAGCTTACCTCTATACGAGATCAAGGACTCTCTGGATAATGTCCCTTGAAAGTGGATCGCGAACAAGACGACGGCCCTGTTCAAGCAAAAGCTCCGGCTCAAACTGATGCATACGATCTTTTCCTTTTTGGACCGGAATTCCGTAGCTCGCCTATGCTCAACATTGTCAAGTGCCTGTGAACCCACTCATTATTCTTCTGCGACGAGTAAATGGACACTCACTTGATCAGGCCCACGAGAGAAGACTTTACCACGCCGCTGAGGAAGAGTATAAAGCAGCGCCAGATCCGAGCTCAACGCCACCTGGACGTCCGAGTCTATGAGAACGTCCGACCGATGCACAAAGAAGAACGAGATTGAGATTTGATGCCCGGGACTGGGAAGTATCGAAGCGCTGGTATACAAAGGTCCGTAGTCTTTGGAACGGTGGCATTAAGAGACAGTCTGGCTCAAGGAATAGTCGATGTGATCTTGTACTCGAGTGCTGAGAGCTCCTGAATGGAAACAGGGTGTGCGATGATTGAATCTGCAGGAGCTTATTGAAAGTGCTGCAGAAAGAAGAAATGGAGCGCTTGCCGTTCCATGACAACGAAAGCTGTGCAAGGCCAGATATCACGTCACCTTGGAGAGGTCGGCGCGCCAGCCAAGAACGGGAACAACCGGGTGTCCTTCACGGTCCAATCCTCATCGTGTGATACACAAACCATGCACTGGATCAGTTTCTGGAAAAAGTGATGGAGTTAGACAAGAGTTGTTCGTGTTGGCGGGGGATCAAAGAGCAAGATCTTGGATCGTTGCATTCTCACAAATATTCGACCTCTCGTACGAATGTCGCAGGCGTCCACCACTGGAATCCAGACTTTTAAGAGGAATGGAGCTTCAGTATGTAACGAGAGAGATGCTGTGCGACAGCTTTGTTTCAAAATGGGGCTGGAGAAGTGAAGCATCACTGTGGCACTTGCGAAGAAGTCCGAGAAACCAATCCTTTCTATGTCGACCTTGCAAAAGCGTGTGAGAACCCGATTGAGGAGGATGCAGACACAGATTCTGGATCGGAGATGGAAGAAAAAGAGGAACCAAAAGCAGAGAGGCTTAGTTTCCAGAAATGCGAAGTGTGAATTGACCCGCTGATCGCTGCTCCACCAGGTCGCCAGGTAGCCGATCTCGGCAAGCTCAAGGTCGTGAAGGCCAAGTCAAGATTTCCGCGTCGGCAATGCGGCCATAGCTGCGCCAGTCGCTGAAGGTAAACCCTAGCTGCACGAAAATTGATCCTCAAGAGTTTGAGTTGAGTGAGTTGCACTTTTACGTTTGAATGTTAAAGTTGCATTTTGTTGCACGAAGACACGTGGCATATCCTGCAAGTGATCACGATCACCAGCAGCACTCTTCCGGGCGAAGTTGCAGTAGTTCACACAATCACGCAATGCAGGCTACCATCAGGAATACTAAACTAGATGGTTTTATTTAGTAGTAGATTGTATTTCAATACAGTTCTTCTGACTGACTAATTATTTGCAAGTTGAGCTCCCAGATGTCGGGCTAAAGCCACAATCGTCAAGGTGGGATTCCAAGAGCCACATTGGATTGGCAGGATAGCATTACCTGTCAGGAATACATTGTTGGTGCCTTTGAGTTGGTAGTTGATATCCACACTTTGTTCAATTGGCATTGTGGAGCTTTCGTTTATGATGATGGAACTCCGAACGTCTCCGGGAAGTGTTTTCTTCCATTTGTTGCATGAAGAATCCCAGAAGTCAATTCTACCTTGAGGAGATAAGGCTCTCAAAACATCTTGCATTGCGTCCTCCATCCTGGTTTTAACGGCTTGATCTGCTTTGGATTCCTTCACGTGAATCTTGATGTTATCACAATTGAGGTGGTCTCCGTTGGTCCTTTCAACCCCTGATTCTGTGTTCTCCCCGAATTCTCCAATCCCAATACAAACCAAGATAACAAACCCTTCTTTAGATGATTGCATTTGTTCTTCTGTTGGATTTGCCACTAGATCTGGTGCAAGTCTAGTGGCTGTTGCTTTATTTTTTCCTGGGTCTGGGTTATCCATTCCTGTCACCTGGATGTGATATTTTTGACCTTCAATGTAAAGGGCAGAAAGCTCCAAATGTTGTGGAGGAGATAATTTATAATCTTCTCTTGGAACGCGAGCAACAAGGGAGCTAATAAATTGACATACCACAGTTTTGCCGATATGATGAAATGTTGGAAACGAGTTGAGTACTAATGCTGTAGATGGAATAGCCCCCATACATAATACCAATTTGTTGGTATCATAGAGTTTCACTTCTCCTCGACTTGTTTTTAAAGCTGTTGCAGTGCCATTGTTGTTAACAATCTCATAGACCAAACAATTTGTAGCAATCTTGAAATTTTTGTGAGACTTTGCCAGAGACAGTAACGGAGCTGCAGTGCAAAACTTCTTACATAAAGCTCCTCCCATAGCCAATGGTGCAAACATAACCTTTTTGTCGTGTATATTGTCATCCAAAAGATTTTTTAGTACCGCCTGGAGTTCTCCCTTATATACTTCAGATGAACTGACAACTTGGAGTAGATCTTCTGCCGCTTCCAAAAACTCACGAAGACCTTGAGTAAAAGATAATGGCCATGAAGTTGTTGATTCTAGACATGGCTTGGGACACCAGCCACTCCATACTAGCGATTTCCCACCAAAGAATGGGAGAATTCCTCGTAGCAACTCTACTCCTGGACTTTGTTGAAATTGCCATGGGAATGTTTCACATGTCCCCCGCAAGATACTTTTGAAGATTGGATGGAGGTTTTGTACATGATCTGGCAAAAGGAATCCACCACGTTCCAAGAGAAGAATTTTTGCATCTGGACTACGCTGCAACAGCTCAGTGGCAAAGCCCAAAGCACAAAAGCTGCTACCAATTATAATAAATTCATAACCTTCACTTCGAGCTTGCTCCCATTCTTCTTCTCGAACAAAGAATGCATCCTCCAGAACTTTAGAAGCATTAGGATCTGCTGACATTTTGGAACACTCGGATAGAAGAGAGAAAGCTATGTCAGCAATGCAAGCAGGATAGGCTCAGAAGGATGTGATGGAGAAGTGCTTTTATCCTGAGATGCAACAGATGGTTATAACATAATTGTTACTAACATATATGATGGAAAAGTATGTCTATTCTGTTTGGAATACATTCTAGGTAGGTAGGAGGAGTGTATTCACCAGACTCGTCCAAATAAAAGATGGCAAATAGTTGTCAGCAACTTATAAAAAGGTGATAAGTCCTTGTTGCCGACCTATATAAAGTTTCACACCTTGGACGAGGATCACGCAACTCGCGCGGGAGCAGGAGGGAAGCCAACACGCCTGGCGTGGACTTGGAATAACAAAACATACAATTGCAAATTGTACATAGGCATGTCAAGCTGTTGGATTTTTGTTTCAAGCCAACGATGGCGTATAGGAAAAGAAAAGACTCACTAGGACGGACAGGCAGGGCAGAAGAAGATTACGGCTCCTGATCTTGCACCTCCTCCAGGCAGTGAATCCACTCTGGCCATTGCCTCTGGACCGTGGCACCAGGACGCAGTAAAATGTTTAGCGTACCACGGAAAGGACGAGAAACTGAATCGAGGCCAACCTGAATCCAGAAGAATAGGCATTCCTCTCCTAATCATCTTTCATGGCTTCCGCATTTCCCATTCCCAGCAACGACACCATTTCTTTGGAACTTTGGACCAAGCCATGCTTGAGAAACTTTTCAGAGGTATGAGACCTTGAGATGAAATTTTAAGTAAGTGATTTATCTCCCATGGCCATCTTTCCTTTCTCTCTTCTTTGTTTTCCCACTTTTCTTGGGTTGAGTTTTTCAGTATTTTGATTAAGTTTTTCTTACAGGGTTTTCTTTTGTTAAAATAACCGTGACTCCGGCAAAACCTCCATTGGAAGAACAAACTAGAGATTACAAACATCTCACTAAAAACTATTAAGTGGTCTACTTCATGGATATGGTCCCCTGATAACTTAATTAAAAATCACCATAACGAGAGATGGCAACGTTGCCTTGCACTGGAATGTGATGAGATCCTCCAATCACTGCAGTGCAATCCGGACACCTCGACTGCTCCATTGGACGGCCACACTCTCCGACCACATAGATGTGACCATTCGGGCATTTGTACCACGTACCTCCAACGCTCCCAAGCGCGGCTCTCAATTCCACCGCTTCAATCTCCACACTTCTCTTCATCTTCTCGGCCTCACTCTTAATCCTCACTGCGTTCTCGTTCCCGGGATCGTGCCCTAGCACCGCCTCACAGATCGCCACCGCAGCCGCAAACTTTTGCAGATTTGTGAGCGCCAGAGCCCACTGCACCATCGCCTGGATCGCGAGCTCCACACCGGCGTTTGCGACGAGATCACTGGGTGAAACGTTGCTTGGAAGAGGAGTGTAGCTGCTCGAGCTCGAGGTGTCTGATCGAATTGTCGAGATCTCGGACGAGAGTGGGCTCGACTGGACGATCAATCTCAGATGGTCGATTGCTTTCTCGAAGTCTTTGGCCTGGCAATACGCTGTTCCAATCCCAAGGTGGGCCTGGAAGAGCCCCGACTCGACCTGGATCGCCTCGGTGAAGAGTTCTATGGCCGCCGAGTGATTCTTCTTCCCGAGGTGCTGGAATCCCTGGTTTGTCTTGTAATTCGCCATCACTCTCCTCTTGACTTGCTCGATCTCTTGGAGCTTTGCTTTGACGATGTTTGCGTAGCGGTGAGTTCTCCGGATTGGAGTCTTGCATAGCGGGCTGGGGAAAGAACACGATCAACCAAGAAATCTAGCATGGATCAGACTCTTCTTACGTACCAGGACTTGAGAAGGATCGCCGATTGATTGTCGTCAGACTCCATCCATCGATCCAAAGTCGACACTTCAAACAAATGGCCGCAATCTTGGAGCTGGATGAATCGATCAGATCTATCGCTCTCCCCCAAACTTGTGAGCGAGATTGGATCTCGAGTTTCTGGATCGCAAATCCGGCACTTCGTCGGGCAAGGCTCGCCGCAAAGCCCAATGCATCGGTGGCGACACGTGGAAAGCCGCCTCCTACATGGCATGTCGCACCGTCCGCGCTGGCATGTTTCGTGGCACTTTAGCTCGCACTTGAGGTGGCGGCATCTCCAGGAGCATCTTTCCCGACACGGCCGACATGGCTCTCCACAACGCTTGGAGCACTGGCTGTGGACGCAGCGCTTGTCGCATGGTCGCCGACAAGGTGGGCAGGGGACCGAGCAACTGTCCTGGCAGAGGTGACCGCAAGGAAGATCCCGACCGCATCTTTGCTGACACGTAATATGCTTTTCTCCACGTTGGCACCGCCCACACGTCCCCTTGCACCGGTGCTGGCAGCCCTCTAGGATGGCGTCACATGACACACTGCATGAGAAGGTGGCGGGGTCGTGGAAGCATCTCATCCGTTCCCCATGTCCACATGGCAGCTCCCTGACCACCGATTCGCAGCATTTGGTCTCACATGGCCTTCCACAGCTGCTCGGGCATGGATGGCCGCAAGGGAGAGGTCTCGGGCAGGGACTCGAGCACGCGACCTCTTCTACCTTGGTCGCGCATGGAATCCTTTGCTCGTGACCACAGCTAGGGTTTATCTTCGCGACGAGGATCTGGCAGGGCCGGCAGGGGCGATCGCCATGGCAGAGGTTGGCGCAGCTATGACCGCATTCTTCTCGGATTTTCTCGCATTGCTTGGGACAGATCACGGCGTCGTGCGATCCCGGATGGCATCGTCTCGGGCAAGCGTGGCCGCATTCGAGCTGGAATTCGCAAGGTCTGTTGCATCCGCCATCGCCGACGAGGCGGAAATCTTGGATCTTCCGGACCGGGGTCTCGGTGTCGGGGTGATTCTGGCAGCGCAGCACCAGTGCATCACCGATCGAGTGCTGCTCCTGGAGGATTTCGAGGATCTTGCGCCAGAGATCGCTCTTCCGGGTCAGTAATTCCGCGTTGCCGAACATGTAGAGGCCCTGGCGAGCTCGCGAGAGAGCTACATTGATCCGGTTGGCGATGTTGAGGAAGCCGATCTTTCCAGCGCTTTCTTTGTCCGGGATTATGTTGCTCCTCACCAGCGAGAGAAGGATTATCGTGTTCTCCTCGCCTTGGAACTCGTCCACACTGGACACTCGCGGCAAACTTCCATCAGCTCCAGGAACATCTATGGAAGATGACGAAGACGATGATCCACGATTTCTCCACGAAGGACTATCTGACGACGATGATGATCCACGATTTCTCCACGAAGGACCATCTATGGCGGATGACGAGGAAGGACGATCTGAAGTTGCTCCTCGAATGCTCGAAGAAGTAGCGCCAGATCGAAAGAAGCTGTGCTCCGCCAACCTCCGCTGGATCTCCTTGACTTGTCCCTTATACATGGCGAGGATGGTCACGTCCTTGGCATCGTAGCAGGCTTGGTTGAGAAGATAGACACAGAGCTCCACCACGAGTCCGGCTTCAATGGGATTGATCTTGGTCGCGCCATCTTCTTCGTCGCCGCAATCCTGCTGCTCGAGAGCTTTGTGATCCAGGAAGAACAAGCTCGACTTCATGCCTTTGATATCCTCGTACTCGGAAGCTCTGGCATGGTCCTTCAAGCTGGGATAGATGGTGCCAGAGATGAGCTTGGAGATGCAAGGCTTCATCCTTCGCTGGGTTTGGAGCATTACGTGCTGGATTCCATTCTTCACCATCCGCTCGAAGAGAGAGACCTCGAGTTTGTGCTTGGTGGCGAGCTTGTAAGTCGCCACAGAAGGACGGAGCTGCAAGTGATCCCCGATGAGAATAAGTTGGCGAGTGTGCTGCGTGAGGCATGCAAGTACGTGACTCTCGAGCACCTCAGCCGCTTCTTCGACGATGACAATCTCTGGCTGGAGAACGGCCAGCATCTCGTTCAATCGAGCAGCCCCGGTCGTCGTCATTCCCACAACTTTGGATTTTCTCAGTATCGAGAGCTGGATTTCTCGCTGGGCTTCCTCGTTCGCCTTGCAAGCGGCGAGGTAGTTAAGGGTGTGCCGGGCAAGTTGGCGGCGAGCTTCGGTGTGGATCTTCAGGAGCCAGTACTGATGAAGCCTTCGTCTTTCTCTCACGGGAAGGCTCCACAGGTCGGGGTCGTCAACAAAGACATCCAGTGGGATTTCTTCTTGGATTTGGTTGGAGGAACTGGCTGCGTCGAAAGAAGCAGCAGGGACAGATTGGTCTTCATCTACCTCCACAACCTTGCGCTTGCCGCGATCCGCCTGCTGATCCGGTGGAGCAGCGATCGTCTCGACAATCGGAGCTTCAGGGTTGGTATCGTCCCTTACTTCGCATTTTTTCTGGAAAGTCTCAGCTAGCCAGCCTCGGATCCTCGCACTAAGCGCACTGCCTGCTTCGTCACTTTCTGCTTTTGGTTCCTCTTCTTCTTCCATCTCCGATCCAGTATCTGTTTCTGCCTCCTCCTCACTTGAGCTCTCATAAACATTCCCATGGTCAGCTGGCTCTTGATCCTCGTCCTCGAGGAGATCAAAACGATTGTAGTTCTTCTTGTCCTTCAGTGTCACGGACTTCTTCTCAAGTGCCACAGTCTTTCTCTGGATGCTTTCCCCCTCCAGCCAAGCCTTCACCCCTCCAGGTCCATTTTCAAACAAAGCTTTTGACTGTTCATACGTCGCGATCTCAAGAAGCCGCTCTCTCGTCACGTACTGAAGCTCCATTTGCCTCTTGCAGTTTTCGATGGCCTCTTCGAAAGTTTCCATTCCACTGGCGGAAGCCATGGACATTCGTACCAGAGGTGGGCTCAACTTACAGTCCTTTCGAATATTTGCGAGAAGGCAACGATCCACGGTCTTGCTTTTTGATCCCGCGCCAACACGAACAACTCTGGTCTCGAACTCCATCACTTTCTCCAGGAACTGATCCAGTGCATGGTTTGTGTAGCAGACAATGAGGATTGGACCGTGAAGGACACCAGGTTGTTCCTGTTCTTGACCTTTCCAAGGTGACGTGATATCTGGCCTTGCACAGCTTTCGCTGAAAAGATTTGCTAGCAGTGCTCGCACGATCAGGAGGCCAACGAAAGTTTTGCCAGTGCCGGGAGGTCCTTGAATGAGTGCGAGTCTCTTCGTCAAGGCATGTTTGATCGCTGCTTTCTGGCTCGCATCCAAGGTACAAGACGGCCAATCCGGCCACTCCTGAAGTATGTGAAATCTGGATCGACCGAGTTCTTCTTTCATTTCAGGAAACGTAGCCTCGAAGTCGTAGAAGTCTCCTCCAGCTCGGTGCACCAAGTATGACGGTGGCTTTACCTCTTGATCCAGCGCGACAAGGTTGTCATTGAACGGTAAGCACTCCATTTCTTCTTTCTGCAGCACCTTCAAAACGTGGCAATAAGCTCCAAAGTATGCTCCTGTAGATTCGATCATCGTATACGCTGTTTCCTGGAGCTCAGCACCATCGAGTAAGATCACGTCGACAAGTCCTTGAGCCAGCTTGTCTCTCGATGCTACCGTTCCAAAGACTACCGACCTCTGGAAGTTGTCGGGACTGAAGCATACCAGCGCTTCGAACATGAGACGCTTCGAGTTTTTCCAGTCCTCGTCAACCATTCTTCGTCGCCGCGTTCCTCGAATATCGAATCTCACTCTCGTTGCAATGCCTTCTCGGACGAGAACCACCTGTATCGGTCGGACGTTCTCATAGACTCGGACGTCCAGGCGGCCTTTCGCTCCGTTTTGGTGCTGCTTTATACCGTTCCTCAGCGGCTCGATGAAGTCTTCTCTCGTGAGCCTGAAGTGAGTTTCTAGATACTCCGTCGCGGAAGAATAACGAGTGTCTGTCTTGTTCACAGGCACTTCTGATGGAGCGACAATGTTGAGCAGCTCTGGGTTGGTGGGGATGATAGGCGAGCTGCGGAACTCCGATCCCTGCAAGGCACAAGGAGAAAGATCAGTACTTCTCTTCGAGACAACAAGGTCTTAAAAGACTTGCCTGTAAGCACGCATCCGGGTTTGCTGCCGTGAGTTTGAGCCGGAGCCTTTGCTTGTGTTCTAACAGGGCCGTCGTCTTGTTTGCGAGCTCCACTTTCAACGGACATTCGGGAACAAGATCCAGAGAATCCTTGATCTCGTGCAGAGGTACGTGCTTCCAGCCATCGAGAGTTCGTTGCTGAATCTCTTCTGCCAAAAGCAGGAACGGCTCCAGCTTCTGTGCGGTCGGGGGTGTGAGATTGTTGATGTGAACCTGGAGATCTTTGAGGAAGCTCGATCCAAGCAGCGAACCGAAGATCAAGTTGGTGTTGTGCTTGAGCATGCTGCACCGGAATCCTTCCTTGGTCAGCAACTTCACCAGCATGTTTGCCGACTTGAGGCCGAGATGCGGACTCGAGAGAACGTTTTGAAGCGCTTGGAGTCCTTTCGCCGAGCTGAGATACTCGATGTTGTCGGCCGAGTGCTGTTCAAGCTGCGTGATCAGCCACCTTTCGATGTGAGGCCCCGAAGCAAAGGTGGTGCTTGTGGCGTTCGAGGAGCTCGAGCCGTGCGAGAACCTACACAGGTGTCCATTTCTACAATGCCCTTGCTGAAAGTAGTGACATTGTTTCCTTTCTTCTCTTCCAGAGCTCCTGGACGGTGGTTGATACTTTCCCACTGCTGCTGGCTGCTGCTCTACGGTCACTCTTCCAGAGCTCCTGGCCGGTGGTTGATACTTCCCCGCTGCTGGTTTCGGAATGGCTGGCTGCTGCTGCTGCTCTACGATCACGAACTTTGGCATGCGGCGCTTGGAAGCGCAGTCCTCGAGCACGAGAGCCAACTCCAGATCCGATGGAACGGCGACGAGCTCCTTGGTGTCGTCCTCGAACATGACGGCGGCCGGGGTTTGCAGCCTGTCAAACGTTTCTCTCGCGACTGTGAGAAGCTCCGCGAGGCTTTGGTGCTCGGCGAAGCGGACGAGTCGAGTGGTTTCATGGTACCGCAGCTTCACCAGGCGATTGGACGCGACCTCCTGCTGGGATGGAAAGTGGTCATCGAGGCAGCAAAGCTGGCAGCAAACTTTACCTCTGGAGCGCTGGTTGACGACGATGATCCATCTCCAGCTACCAGAGCACTAAGATTCAACGGAAGAACAACACAGCCATGGCGCTTCCTCGTCTCTCTCGCCATCGCAGCGATGGGGAGTGAGAGAGCTTGGTTGATCTCAATACGTTGGTCTCGATCGTGGTTCTTTGTTTCGCGCTGAGGTGGCTAGCAGTCTTGCATCAATGGGAGAGACTAGACGTGCATTCTTATGATTTAGCTATAGATGCCAACCTTGTAAGCGGGAGATTCGACTGTGAAAGTGAAAGCTACCGTGGTTTCACGAAATGTAGCCTCAGGGATGACGTGTCACAGCTAGGTCCTACGTGGCAATCAGTGCTCAAGTAAGTATAAACCAATACTATGATTAGATTTTATGAGAAAACCATACCTTTAAATTAGTATTGTTTGAGTCGGTAATGAACTATAGATGAAAATGACAATTTATTAGTTAACAAAACCGCGCGTCCAACGAGGCGTTGAACCATTGATAGATTTTCTTGGATGACAAAAAGAGTGATTTTCGCGACGCTCGTCGCTATCCAATCTATCCGTCTGTCTAGACATCTATATACTATACATGCTTTCCTCAACACGGTGATCTAAATCCCATGTAGTCACCCCGCTCATACTGCTTCCACACGTCCATCCCCCCAAAACCAGCCATGAGAAGCGCGCTCAAGCCCATGACACTGGTCACCAAGAACACGATGATGGACGCGCGGCCATACCTCTGGATGGCTCTTTGCACCACCAAAAGCCCCACCAGCGAGAAGACGAAGCAAATCCCCGAGAACCACAGCGCAAACTCCACCGGGATCCTTCCCATGAGCCAGTACTGTGCCACCGACAGGGACGACGAGAAGAACACCATGAACGCGCTCGTTGCAGCCGTCACCTGGTAAGGAGAACGAAGAGTGAAGCTCCATCACGATGGAGGAGGAGCGATGAAACGAGGAGAGTAACGTTACCTGAGGCGGCATTCCCATCTCCAGAAGAATGGGACTGATGAGCATCCCGCCGCCGATTCCCAGCAAGCCACCCAAAATCCCCGCTAGCAATGCCATTAGTGGAAGCGTGAGGTGTGCCCTGTTGGATCGCGACGAGTTCCACTTGCTCGGGTTCTGGATAGATATACGCAAATAACGAAGTCATGAAAAGCCAAGAACAGTATCATAGTTTGCATGGAAAAAGCTGCGAACGAAATCAAAGCTTGTGTAATGACGAGAGAAATGGAAAGGCGCGCAGTGGAGAGATTCGGGCAGCCGAGAAAGCATTCAGGACAAAAGAGAAACAATAAACCAATCAACCAACATTTGTCCTAGAAAAGTTCCAGCAACAAACAAACTCTTAGCACTCGAGACAAGGAACTTCACGTCCGATTGACACGACTACTGACACAAGGCACAGATAACCGGAAGATTTGTGATCTTCTACCAGGAAGACGATAAAAATGAATGAATTGGAGATGAGAGCTTACCTTTACAGTGGACACGGTGGTTTCCCGGATCGTCCAAACCGTGAAAAGGAGCGTGAGAGGGAGCTGCGATCCCGTGATAAGCCAGTATCCCAAGCCACATTCGTCCAAATGGAAGTATCCCTGAGTCAAAATCTAGCTCTTAAGACGAGAGAATCGAGAAAGAGAGAGAAAAAGAAAGGACCTTACCTCGCTTGTCTTGCTGCCTCGCAAGAGCTGCACGGCGAAGAAGAAGAGCCAGACGAGCAGCAATCCCGCGAGCTTGAGAGCTGGAAACCCTACGGAGCAGCACCCGAGCTTCTCTGAATCGGGAGCTCCCTCCTCTGGCGGATCCATGGCGGCAGCGGCGGCGCGGGGACGACGATGGGGAATTTCGGCGGAATCGAGAAGCGGAGCCTCGGCATCGTGATATTTCGCGCTCTTGCCCTCTCCATCGCTGGAATTGGAGCCGGATTCGGCCTTCCAGAGGCGAAATCCGCAGTTGAAGCTCCGGAATGTGACGAACGCGAGCGTGATCGTGAGGAGGAGCGTGATGAGCCAGCCCGGGAACATGAGATTGCAAAGAACGCCCAGGCTGATCCCCAGGAGCATGTTTGGCTGCATGAGGAGCGCGGCATCGAAATCTATGAGCGGCCGCTCGTCGTCGAAGGGATCCCGCTGGAAGGCGCTCCACATCATGTTGGCGATCATGCCGCCGAAGATCATGAAATTGGAGAGCACCGCCGCGGTCCTGGTGTTGAATCGCAGCAACAGATTGAAGAGGGGAACGTAGAGGCCGCCGCCGCCGATCCCTCCCGCGCTGGAGACCGCGGCGCCGATTGCCCCGAGAATGGAGGCGATGATCGTCCTGGCGTCGGTGAAATCGACGAGACGTGCCTCGCTGCCATCGCGAAGCAGATTTGGCGAGAAATTCCGGGGGGAGGAGGAGGAGGATAATCTGCCCGCGGCGGCAGCGATGCACGCGATGAGCGCGAGGGATGCGCCGGCGCCACAGCAGAAACGGTACAGATTGGAGCTCATTACCGCGCCTCTCTTTCTTTCTTCCTCTTTCTCTGTGTTAGCCCTAGAAAGAGTTTTATGATTAGGGCAAGAAACAATTTTGAAAATGCTATTAACCAATATTTAACGAATTGTGTGGCTGTAGTTTAGTGGTAAGAATTCCACGTTGTGGCCGTGGAGACCTGGGCTCGAATCCCAGCAGCCACATCACTCTTTAATTTGTTTTCACTAAAAGCTTGATCGCCTAGGTTAAGAGCCTTGAGCTAGGCCGGCTTATACTTGAAATTTTTAGAGGTCAGTTTATTATTGTATATAATTAAGACTTGAAACTATGAAATAAAGAATATTAAATTTAAAATTATATTAGAAATAATAATTAGTGTGAAAATGTTATGCCCAAAATTAGGCTGCTGCGATTCGAGCCGAGGTTCTCCACACATCTTATTATTTAGTTCAAAACAAAGCAGTTTAAAAATATATCGGAGCCAGGTTTCGATCCTGGGACCTGTGGGTTATGGGCCCACCACGCTTCCGCTGCGCCACTCCGATTCTCTTTTCTCTTATCTTTTTTGGCTTATATTTCAGCGCGCCAGTGTTATTAACTTCGATATCTTAGCAAAAGTTCCTTAAATATTGTGACTTAGCAAAGTAACGCGTTTCTTCGCCCCTCTCTCATTCGCGATGGCGAGAGACACGAAGAAGTGCCACATGTGGCAGTGTTGTTCTTCCTGTGAATCTTAGTGCTCTGGTAGCTGGAGTTGGATCATCGTCGTCAACCAGCGCTCCAGAGGTAAACTTTGCTTCTACTTTTGTTGTCTCGATGACTTTCCGTCCTAGCAGTTCCAATCGCCTGTACCATGAAACCACTCGTCTCGTCCGCTTTGCCAAGCACCAAAGCCTTGTGGAGCTTCTCATAGTCTCGAGAGAAACATTTGACAGGCTGCAAATCCCAGCCGCCGTCATGTTCGAAAGGAGCTCGTCGCTGTTCCACTGGACCATGCTCGAGGACTGCTCTTCCAAGTTTCGCGTGCCAAAGTTCGTGATCGTGAGCAGCAGCAGCCAGCCATTTCCTCGCTGAATGTACTGACATTGTTTCCTTCTCTTCCAGATCTCCTGACACCCGGTGGTTGATACTTCCCCGCTGCTCGTTGCAGGAATGGAGACCTGTGTATGATCTCGCACGGCTCGAGCTCCTCGAACGCCACAAGCACCACCTTTGTTTCGGGGCCTCACATCGAAAGGTGGCTCCAGCGAGATGTACAGTTCGAGGCCAGCTTTGGTGTCGATCCGCAACTTCACCAGCATGTTTTCCAACTTGATACCGAGGTGCGGGCTCGAGAGAACGTTCTGACGCGGAACCGAGAAATCACCTCCCGGTGCTTGAAAATTCGAAAGTTGTGATAATGATGATGCGCGGAGCTTCTCGGCAGAACGACTTCGATGCCTGAGATTGTCGTCAAAGAAGCGGCTGTGGTGCTCGAGAGTTACTTACTTGCATGCCTAACGCAGCACAGTCGGCAACTCATTCTCATCCGGGTGCAGTGTGACGACTTACAAGCTCGCCACCAAGCATAAACCCGAAGTCTCTCCCTTCGAGCGGATGGTGTAGAACGGAATCCAGCACGTAATGCTCCAAACCCAGCGAAGGATGAAGCCTTGCATCTCCAAGCTCATCGCTGGCAGCTTGAAGGGCGATCCGAGCGTTTCCGACTACGAGGATATCAAGTCTTCCTGTTCTCGAGCAGCAGGATTGCGACGACAAAGAAGATGGCGCGACTAAGATTCGAAGCCGGAGTCGTTGTGGAGCTCTGTGTCTATCTCCTCAACCAAGCCTGCTACGATGCCAAGGACGTGACCCTCCTCGCCATGTATAAGGGACAGAGGTTGGCGGAGCACAGCTTTGAAACATAGGTCTGTCGAAGGTTTAGCTGAATGTCAAAGTTGAAGAAAGCTTTCATCGATGAATAGTTCAAAACCCTCGGTCAGCTCCAGGTACGATAGTTTTTTTTTTATAAAAAATTGAAGTACTGCACACTTTATCACCCAGTACAATCATTCCACCAAGTTGGGGGAGCGGAGGCTCCCCTTATGTTCATCCACAAGCTAGGCCTACCTCGTAGCCATTCAAGGAGAAGCAACGAGCCTTCTTTAATTCCCTCAGATGAGAGGGACTTAGTCCCCTCATATAGGAGGGGTTAAATCCCCTCAATAGTCAATCTGTTAATCCTTAAGTCACATTCCTTGTGACTTGCCACACCAGTCCTATTCAGCTAGAGGCGGCCTTACAGCCAAGCCACTAACTATAACATCCTGTCACATTGCATCGATGAGGAAAGGTCCAAAGGCTGTCCATTGGCCTACCTTAAAGTAAGATTGGCTCTGATACCACATAAAACAGACTCGAGGTCGGATAACCTACCCCCACCCCTAAGTTCTCCATCCAGCCAGCCTGGCCTCCTAAGAGGAATCAGCCTCAGACCAGGCCCCATATAGTGAAAGTTTCATTCAATGCGAAAGTTCACTTAGTCACGTTTGTGACTTCATGGCTCCATCCAAGCATCAAGTCCCATCTTTAGCCTAAAGGACATCTAAGATGTCCTTAGATGCATTTCTGGGTCTCTCATACCCAACCGAACTCCCTTAGTTGGTCTTTGCTCCTACTTAACCGTGTCGGGTCACTTTCTCTCTACCTGACCGGGTCATACCAGACCAAACAGGTCACATTGGGTTCATCTGTGCCTCACCGAGTCCTATCGGGTCCATATGGGTCATGTTGACAATACCCAATACTTAACGGGTCCAAATGTGGCACCTGTAGCCCACTCAGGGCTCCTGAAGGGTCAAGGAGGTCACTTCTCCAAAGACAAGCCCTCGAGATCCAAGACAGTCCACTACGGGACTTATCTGGGACACCAAGTCCATATACTTTGGTTTGTGACCTCAAGGCAAACATCTAAGGGTCATGAGAGGGGTCCTCTAGCCACCCACGAGCTTGAACTCACTCAAGGACTAAGTCCCCAGACTAATGTCTGTCCATCCGATCATCTGACATGTTCAAGCTCACTTCCCCTCTCTACAGGTTGTTACACTAACCCGTTTGGTCACTAAGTCCCACCATGCTTACATTGGTCCCACAATATGTCTTGGTCTGGAGCTCCATTAGCCCACACAAGAAGGCTAAGTCCATTCGTCCATATCCATCTCCCATTTGATTCATATTCCTCATTCCGGGCCTGAGTCTATGTTTAAGTCCTCAACAACTTACACAAGTCCAGCTATGGCTCTTTGTGCTCGAGTCCTCAACAACTTACACAAGTCTAGCTATGGCTCTTTGTGTTCGAGTCCTCAACAACTTACACAAGTCCAGCTTCTAGACTTGTCATTTGAGGCTTGGAACCCTCCATCCAAGCCCTAAGGGCACGAGCATGGGTCTCATCCCCTCCATAACGTGTTTCTCGATCCATGTGATCGCCACTCTATGAGTAGAATGAGTCTAGAACTCAAGGATGAGGAACCTGACCCACCTCCAGCTCACTCGCTGCCTTCATCCACATCAAGAGCACCATAAGCCATGTCAGGCCCAATCAGGCCCCCATAACAAGTGGAACATGGCCTAGACAAGGGTTAACGACAAACAAGTTCGGGCTCCAAAATGGATCTCAAATCACCCAGCTAGATTCACCAACCATGTTAGATTCAGTGACTTCGGGTAGTTCAGGAGTTCCCTTCCCAACCGGGGGACTCTCTCCATAATAATCACTTACATGTGACCACGAACCCCCCCCAACAGAGAAAATAAGTCTTGGGATAGCATACAATGTTCTAGCCTTTTAGAGAGAGAATCTTTAAATGGCTATAACTCTCACCACAGGTGTTTGTTTGACATGGGAGTGGTGCTGTTGGATTCGTCTCACTCTAAACTTCAAGAATATTTCATTTTTAATCTAATTTAAAATACTTGAAAATCCATGATATTTCCTTTTAGCTAAGTTTAGTGTTATGCTTCATAAATGTTTAGACACCAAGGGGGTAATCAATGTATTCAAAAATATAATAAATTATATTCATCACATTACAAATATTTATGTTAAATTAAACATGAAAATATTTTTATTTTGCTACTAGCTAGCAGCAAAAATGTGGCAGCAGTTAGAGTGCCAGCAGTCAAAGTGTTGATTGTCAAAGTCATAGTAGTGAAAATGTATCAAGCTAGCACGTTTGTCAAAAAAATTAAGTTTTGAATAAAATATCTTCATCCACATCAACAAACCTAAGTGGATGGGCAATAATAGCAATCTTGCATTAGTTTCATAACAATAATTAACATGTAGCAACAACAACAATACAAATATGGGTAGAATGAAATATAAGTATGTATGAAGGTTGGTTTTAGCTGTGCACACTATTGCTACCATTACAATAATGTAATAGTGTAGCTATATTATGCACAATTAAAGACATCCATTACATTTCTTCATCCTTCAAATTTTTTTACTTCTTATATAGTTAATAGAATAAATTTTCCATGTAATAATAGGTATTGTTACATTGAAATAAATTAGACAATGATAACACCCTTGCTTTGGCTTTACAACAACACTCAACATGTAACATCAACACAAACAACATGAATAAAGTGAAAAATAAGTTTGAAATGAAAGTTTGGGTTATCACCATACATTTTAAGTTCCTAAATTTATAATTTTTTAGATTTCTTATTTATAAATTACTCTATTCTTTTTCAAAATTTCTTTATTCTTTTTATTAAATATATGGTAAATGAAATATTGAATAAAAGTATTTATCATCAAGCCTTGGTAAATAACTTTACTTCTACTGTTATAAATATCCTTTGCCATAGCAAGAGTTTAAGGTTTTTCGGGCCTATGTAATTCTAAAGATTACATATTTCAACAATGAAATATTAGGTCTATCATAACTTCATGTGTGTCAAGTATATTTTTATGTCTAAGAATTATGTTATTGTATGTTAAATAAGTTTCAGAGAGAAACATTATGAGTAATTTATATCTGTTCAAATATATTAAATTTTAAGTATGTTGAACATATTTTATCGGCATCTAAATATATTAGCTAATCATGTAGTATGTTTCATTGTTTATGAAATATGTTGTTGTAAGTTTTCTGAGCTTGAAAGATATGCAATTTAAATATTGCATCGATGTTGCTATATATATA